AAAAAGGATCTGTGAATATCTTGGTGAAATTACACTTGCTTCTGGGACACAATCGCTGGCAAAGGTTTTGGGCATAACTTTTGAAAGCTGATGACTATGTTCAATGGTTCCCTTCTGAGCCTGGTTTTAAATGGAATCAGTGCTCTGACATATCCTGCCTGTTGGGACTGCCAGCACCATGTTTTGTGTTCCTTGCAGAGGTGTCTCTTACTGACTAGGATTCATTCTCCTTGATAAATGTCTCCTCTTTGCTTAGGGGCCATCTCTGCCACCCTGGTAGTTTTCAAAGGGTGAATTATATGATGGCTTTCGTGTTATGAAATGTTAGAACATTTCTGTTATGAAAGTGGAGGACAGTGCTTGGAAACCTCAGTGCTCATTAAATAAGCAGGTTTGTGACATTCAGTGTTTTCATTTTAGATTTTAATTAAAAACTTAAAAAAATAAAAATAAAAACAGTTCTATAGGGAGAAAGGGTGGCCTTAGGAGTTAAGACCAGGAGATCTGGTATTTCAATTCTTAGCTCTGCTACAGATTTCTTTTTTGGCTTTGAGCAAGTCCATTAACTACCAAGTCTCAATTTCCCACCTGTAATATTAGGATGAAAATCTTCCTCTCCTTCCATCCTTTAGTCTGTTTAAATTTTAAGCTGGCTGGGAAGCCAGCTTAAAATTCCCATTCAGTATCTGTACAATGTCTCATCCAATAGCCCTTACCGTGGTTGGCACCATAAGGCATTACTATTATATAAATAATACTACAAAACATACATATGTTAGTGAGAACATCTCTGCCTAAACTCTGGGAGGTAAAAATAAAGTTCCTGGAGGTTCTAATTTTAGAAAAATCCTCTTCACCATTGTTTTTCTTCTCCTAGGGTTGCTGAGAGGGAGAGCATCAACAAGATGTCCCTGCACAATCTGGCAACTGTCTTTGGACCAACACTGCTGAGACCCTCAGAGAAGGACAGTAAAATTCCTGCCAACCCAACCCAGCCCATAACAATGACTGATAGCTGGTCACTAGAAGTCATGTCCCAGGTAAAACAATAATTAATGTGTTTGTTAGAGGTAGTATCTTAGCCTCTGGGAATCAGGCTGGCTGCTCTGGCCCTCAGGTTCTGGCACAGACACCCTTGACAGTTGTTTCACATAACAGTTTATCTAGAAATGTTTGTGGTCAGGGTAAATGGTGTTTATAAATCCCTGGTAGCTAACAGTGCTAGAGACCTGCCCTGTGGCAATGCCAGAGACTCCTTTTACAAAGCAGTTTTCAGCCAGGTTAGGTTAGACAGTGCCTGAAACCCAGTCTGGCCCAGTATTTGCTGTGACAGTTCAGCTCACAGCTGTGCTAACATGGATGTCAATGCAAACATTCTGTGTAGCCCCATCCACTGGGCTTCGCAGGTTTGTGGGTGCCTGAGCATTATGGGAAATATTGGCAGCTTTTCCACAATATAGCACTGATTTGAAAGCCAAGGGATTTTTTGGCATTTTCTTACAAACTTCTCATTCCTTGTATCTGGGGTACCAGCATCCAGGAAGACTTTCTGCTGGTTCCAGAAGCTTTCAGCATTGAGGCCTGCTCAGAGCCTGATAGGGAATTCCAGGTCAGAGGCTACTTTTGGTTTTGAGCCTGATGTCTTCTTTGGCTTAGGTAAAGGTGACTTATGAGTCAAAAAGATTTCAGAAAGCAGACTTATCTTGAATACAGAGGCCTTCCCATGCCCTGGTTTAATCTGTAGACTGAACAGAGAACCACTGAACCCTTGAAGCTGTTCCAGTATTCAAGGTCCCACTATACAGTGTACCAAAAGGATGTATGCAGCTCCTCAGAGGATCAGTTTAAAAACCCTGTCCTCTCCTCCAGCAGAAGTTGAGCTAGTTTTGAATTAAGTGGCTTTACAGTTTCCCCTTCCTTTTTCTTTCCAGGTTCAAGTTCTTCTTTACTTCCTGCAGCTGGAAACGATCCCCACCCCAGACAGCAAGAGGCAAAGCATCCTCTTTTCCACAGAGGTATAGAGGCCTGGTTTTAGCCAGGGGACTTGTAGAACTGCTCTCAGTGTGAACCTGCCACGCTGAGAGTGAGAAGACTGGTTCTTCAGACATTCTTGGCCTGCTCCCATCACAGGGAAGTGTGGCCTTCAGTGCTTCTGCTGTTTGTCACACAGAGAGACAAGCTAAAGAGAAAGGAGAAACTCCGTCTCGTTCTTATCATTTAGAACAGGAAAGAATTGGACAGGACATGGGACTGTGCTAAGAGCCTCCACTCGAAGGAGCAATAGACACTTTAATGAAGGCCACCCGGGGCATGGCTGCTGTGCTTGTTGGGAATAGGACAGAAGGTTTTCCTCATTTTTATGGAGTTAATTTATCATAAAGAAGTTTCAAGATTTCTACTGGACCACTTGTCAGGATGCCCTGGGGTAAGGGGGTGTTTAAAGGATTTGTCACAACTGTGTCATTTTAATAACTGCTGTTTTAAGCTATTGTTCTGGGTTACAAGGGATTGCGCTGCTCAGCAAGGGGGAGCCACAATTCCCTCCACTCAGAAATTCAGGCCTTGATTTGAACAGGGTTTTTGAATAATAAACCAGAAGTTTGGTGCACAACTGGACCTGTTGTTTTTTTGTCTCTGTCCTGCCCATGCCTTCCCTTGTAAAGGTTTGTACAAACTCGAGGGAAGGGGCAGCCCTCTTTTTGCCTCTTTGTTGCACTTCTGACACTGTTTTGGTGTTAAAAGGAGCCAGCCTCAGTTGCAATGATACAATGAGTGGCCCTGCCCTTGACAAATGGCAGGAAAGACTAGGCTGAGCGCATCATGAGCCTGTTCTCTGGAACAAGCAAGTGTGCTTGGCTGTGTCAGAAAGGAGCGGCTGGGCTCTCCAGAGGATCAGTAATTTCTTCTGGGCCCTTTTCAAATTGGACAGAAATGAACTGGTGAGGCTGCTGTAACTCCCAGCTCTTCATATGAATGCATGTTAGCACTGGTGCAAAAATAAGCACTAAAAACACCTACTGAAGTATCTTCAAACATCTGGGGACAAAAAATCAACAGCTGTCTTTCTTGCTGGCTGCTTACTCTAAACTGTTCTTAGAAAAGTTTGTCTTGATACTTGAATTCATTTTCTTTTGTTTGAGACTTTGTATGTTGCTTTTCCAAGAGTCTTTTTTCTGATTGGCACAAATACTTTGGTGTGTCAGAATGTACTATCACATGGACAATCTCACAGGTAGCATGCGTTTTGTATTCTTCAGAAATTCCAACCCTGTTTTAATTAAGAGCTGTGCAGCAATTTCTGTGGAACTACACACAGCAGTACAAGAGAAGGGGCCATAATACCCACTCTGCTTCCACTAGTGTAACCAGAATGGCTTACATGGGTAGAAGTGGGACCAGTATTTGCCTTGGGAATTGTAATCATAAGTTAATTGCCTGGTATCTAGACCAGAATGAGTTATTCTGGTCATGAAGCAGATGTGCCAAACATCTGAGGGGAGATTCCAGCTGCATAAGGTATTTCCTCCCCCTTTACAACCCACCCCATTATGCAGTGTCAACTTTAGTCATGACCATCCATCACCATCCTGGCTTTAAAAAAAAAAAAAAAAAAGGCAGCTTGAAGAGAAAAAAATAGAATAGGGGGTGGGAGGGAAGAAGCCAATTGAAAAAATAAATGATGCAGTTGAATTATCAGCATCATTTGAGGGGAAATACTAAAGAGAAAACCAATCCTGTTATGCCAAATTTTCAGAAGGTCTCTCAAACCTCTCCATTGTGAAAAATAACAGAGGAATCTTCCAAACAAGGGGGGGGGAAGCAAAGAAGCTATTTGGTAGTCACTCTAATTCTGACTGCTGCATACTATTAGATGTTATTGTACTGTGAAGTTGCAAATTCAAAAGACAAATAGAAAATATTTCGATTTTGTGAGTATATCAACATTTTGCATGCTATTGTAAGGATTCGTATAGGAATTTAATATTGCTTAGCACCCCTCCCTTCTTAGGTCTGGGAGCAAAACCTCTGTGTGTCGTACAACTAGAAAATCCTTCTCTCTGGACTGTATTTCCACTGCATTCTCACTTTAAACCCTCTTTTCTGTTAGAAACCCTAAGGCCAAAAAATGTGCATGGTTCAGAGGTGTTTGCACAGAGGAGGGTGGAGCCAAGGAAACTTGAAAGCTTAAAATTTGTCCTTTTTTAATGGGGGAGGGAGGGGGGTGGAGGGCACTGGGGAAAAATAGATAAAAATTGGTCCAATCCTGAAAGCTATCTCAAGGAAAGTGATGCCATCCTATAACACACACTTTGGTTTTGCGCTTTTCTGTGTTTTGTGTTTTAATAGCATATCTGTAAATCCTTTCACTGTCAGCTGCACACCCACCCATCCCTTCATGGACTTCAGAGTTTGGTATGTTTGAGGCAGCAGCACTGCAAAAAGCTTTGTTTTGGAACTCCTGCTCCAAGCAGTGGTGTAATAATTTTCTCCTTTTGGTGTTTATAATCTGTGGCTGCAGGTTGCAGTATTTAAACTGGAAAGCAATACCATAATAACTGTGCCAATTTACTTTTGCCGGACTTTTTTATTTTTATTTATATAGGAAGTGTAATTTTAATATTAAATTGCTGATTTATATTATGTAACCATAAGAAAGTTGCTTTTTGCTTTGGTTACTGTTCCAAGTTGTTGCTTTTAGTCTCTTAGTACAGTACAGGGTGTGATTCTAATGAAACTCTATCTAACATGCAGGCATGTGGATCAGAAGAAGTGTCAAGAGTTAATTTAACGTAACCCGTTAATTATTTTTGTTGAGTATGAGTGTATGTTTTCCCCAAAGCTGGTAATTTTGGGCTGGAAAAATACCACATCCTCTGATATTGGCAGGGTCATTGATTTGTTTGAAGTGTGGGAGTGGATTAATTAAACTTTCCTTAGAGATGCAGCTGTAAGTCTTGTGTGGGGACTACGGTTCCTGAAATTGAGAACTCACAAAAGGCTGCTTCCCTTTTTCCCACTGTTTTCTTACATCTCAACACAATAAAGGAAAAGGGACTGGTCCTTTGCAGTATCAGAGAGGCCTGCTTCCCAGGAGGAAAACTGGCCTCGCCCATTGTACATTTTAGAAGACACAACATCAGCAGTGTGAGAGCGAGAACTGGCAAGATTCAACCTTCTCAGATAGACTGTAATGTATGCTGGGAATTGGTACCAACTTATTGAATACACTCTTCCAAGCCCATAGCTTTCAGCTGCTTAAACCTAAAACATGAGAACAGGCATCTGGGATTCTTCAGATAATTTCAATATCATCTGTGTAACATCATTTAAAAAAGAAAAGGCACCAGAGCCCTTGCCTTTGGAAATAGCTTTAAAAAAAAATCTTGTGGATGTTTTTCCAATCTGGAGTAAGTCTTTAAACCAGCAGAGTAGCAGTAAGTAAAACAAACAAACAAACCCTGAAAAAGAGCGTATAAGGACCAGTGATAACTGCTTAGATCTGTTTTATCTTTGTGTTTTGCGTGTTGTTTTATACTGGGGGAAAAGGTGTCTTAGTTGAAACCAAACTGAAACACATCCATTTAAATGCTGCTGGTGCATTTTACTCTTGAAAAGAGTAAATGTAAAGAGCTGAGGTAGTTGTTAGGCTAAATCAAGCTGTACTTTATATGCTGCTAATTTTTTATGTATCAGCTAAGGGCGACATAGAGCAATGCATTGATCCCATTCACTGATGCCTAATGCCTGGCTTGACTCTGACCTTCAGTTGCCAAGTGAAGTACAGGGCAATCAATATGTACCATGTGAAATGAAACTGCAAATACTTTTTGTAGGTCACTACGTGATGCAACTGTGGATTGTGTTTGTTGGAGATGCTGTTTGTTCACTTGAATTGTTTTCTAATTGTTTTATGTTCTTTTTATATATATATTGGTTCCTTTAAACAAATGTACTGTTCTGTACATAAAGGGTCTTCAAACTTGCTCACCACCCATTGCGACACTGGAGGGCGTTACAGTATGTGTTCACTTCTCGCACTGTGCCATTCCTCAAAATACATGTGGAGCGGAAAATGAACAGCTTTGGCCTTTCAAGGTGCCTAAAATCTGCATCTTAATAAAGATTTAAAAACCCCTCCTGCTATCCCTCACTGCTCAGTCCTTCCTTTATTTTAGTGCCTACTTGTGCCCAAAGGGAATACCTTTCCCAGTTCGTACTCTGGCAAGTCTTTCATAAGGCATTAACATTTTTTAATGGGAATTTCTGAGGCGGCAATGGGCATACGTTACAAGAAAGCAAAAGAATTCACTCTCTTGTAGGGACTCATTTCTGTCCCTTGAAGAAATTAAAAAATGAACAGGACAGTTCCTAAGTAGAAACAGTCAAATCATGTGGATGAGTGGATTTAGGGTTTGCAGCCTAGTTTTGTTTTTCTGGTTTCCATTGTCTCTGTAGACTTTGCTGAGCTGCGATCGCTACTCACTTGAAAAATTGCCAATGCGTGTGGAACACATCTCCTAAATCCAGGTTGCTTAGAGAAAGACACTGAGGCTTTGGAGTTAGAGGTGCTAATTCTCCACATGAAACTGGAATGAAAAGCGGGTGTTCAGGTGTATTATTGCTTGTTGTATGGAATGCGGGACCCGGGTTGGCCTTGAAATTAAAGGGCTTTCCCTTAAAGGAGGCACCTAGAGGTGATGAGCTGTGGATTACCAACCCCTGCAGGGTTTAAAATAACAATTAGGAATCCTGCAAATCATATGGTCTAGCCTTAAAAGAGGCAAAGCAGCTGCCTCTTGTTCAATATCATACAAAGAGCCTGTGCCCTCAGATACACCCTGAGCCAAGTGTATTTTCAGTAGTTCACTGAACTGTACTATGGGAGGTGCAGGCATTCGGCGCCTGTTGCCTGCTGGGTCTGACGTGCTGCAATCCTCCTCTCTCGCTACCAAAACCAGTAAAATTGCAATGCAAAGTATTCCACCGGGTCGCTTGTTTTATCCAAGGTGTCTGTCCTCAGTGGGGTGAAAGGTTCTGTAAGTTGAACAGTGATTGCAACAACAAAAAAAGATGCAGCAAGCAGATAAAGCACAGGTTGGAAACAGCAAATAAGCTTAAATTAGATGCTAAAAGAGCCAACCTCCAGGCTGTGAGAATAGTGTCATGCAAAGTTACTGCTGGGAAGTGGTCACAGCAGTAAGACTAAAGTGACCTTTGTGACGGAGGGAAGAGAAATGTCCCGATTTTCATTCTCCCTTGGGCATATCTCTGGAAAATTCAGCTTGTTTCTGTGGGCCACCCAAAATGCAGCAATGGAGCTCCTGAGGAATAGCAAATGTTGGAGTGACTTGGGATGCCCCTTGTTGCTGATTCTCTGTGAACAAATGGACTGTGCTGAACCTGTAGATCATCATTGCAGAACATACAGGCAGGGGATCTATGTATATACTTTTCTTGCCCTCTACCCTTTGCTTTCCTTCCTCTAAATCCTTTTGCCCTACCATGAAAAAAAGCCCTCTTTGTCAAACACAAATTTGAGCCATATCCTGTCCTGCATTGCAGAAGCTCCTGTATTGAGTGACCCACTTACACAGAATAGTTGTCTCCTGATAGGCCTAAAAGATTTTTCACGCTTCTGGTAGAGTGGACCAAACTGTGCTGCAACATCATTATGAAACCTAGCTGAAATTGAATTGGGCTCTGCTTTACGTTTAGGACAGCATGTCTGAGCATGACTGCCCTTAAGAAGTTGTCCCAAGCTATCAGTAGTTCTCCTCCAGTGCTTTACTACCATCCTCATGAGAGAGTTTTTACTAATAGCTAACCTAAATGTCCCTTGCTGCACCATTGTTCTGTCATCTGCCACCAGTGAGAACAGTCCAGCTCCATCCTCTTTGGAAGCGCCCTGCAGGTAGTTGAAGGCTGCTATTAAATTCCCTCTGTCTTCTCTTCTGCAGATTAAATAAACCCAGTTCCCTCAGCCTCTCATTGTAAGTCATGTGCCCCAGGCCTCTAATGACTTTTGCTGCCCTCTGCTGGACTCTCCAATTTGTCCACATCTTTTCTGTAGTGGGGCCCCAGATGTGGCCTCACCAGGCTAAATAGAGGGGAATAATCACTCGCTTCAATCTGCTGGCAGTGTGCTCCCAGTATGCTGTTAGCCTTCTTTGGAACAAGGGCAGAGGCTCATATTCATCTTATTGTCCACTGTAATCCCCAGGTCCTTTTCTGCAGAGCTGCTGCTCAGCCAGTCAGTCACAGCCTGTCAGTGCATGGGAGTGCTCTGTCCTAAGTGCAGGACTTTGCACTTCTCCTTATTAAACTTCATGGCTAGATCCACAGAAGCATGAACGTTTGTTTCCCTGGGGGCAAGAAGCACACCTTGTGCGGCTCCTATATGTCCCCAGGAAATGTCCATGCCCTGCGCCCTCTGGAGCACAGCAGATTACCCCCAGCTGTGCTGGCCCGAGCAGCGTTACCTGGGGTCCTGGTGGCTGGGGGAGCTGCAGCTGCAGTGCTCCTGCCATTCACAGCCTGGCCAGCAGCCAGTGTGTTTCTGGCCTGCCAGGCTCTGGTTTTGGGTGATGCATGCTGCGCCCATTTGCACGACCCTGCTTCCCCCGCGCCCCGCTCTCCCCCCCCACCCATGCAGGTTTTTTGGACCCTGGGATGTCCTGGGGCCACCCCCACCCCCATGCTGCTATTTTGCAGCACAGAGAACACCTGAATGTGCAGCATGTGGCACTGCAGACGGGTCTGTGGTACCACATACCCCACGGCTGTGTTCGTCCAGATGCAGCCCATGTGATTTCTTTTGGTCCAATCCTCCAATTTATCTAGATCTCTCTGAATCCTAGTCCAATCCTCCAGTGTATTTACTATTTCCCCCAGCTTGGTGTCATCTGCAAGCTTGCTGAGGGTGCACTCTATCCCATCTTCCAGGTTGTTGATGAAGACATTGAATAAAACCAGACCCAGGACTGACCTCTGGGGAACTCCACTTGATATTGGCTGCCACCTAGGCATCGAGCCTTTCATTAGTACCCTTTGAGCCCGATGATCCAGCCCATTTTCTAAAATCCACCTTATAGTCCATTCATCAAACCCATATTTCCTTAGCTTGCTTGTGAGAATGTTGTGGGACACTGTATCAAAAGCTTCGCTGAAGTAGAACTATAACATGTCCACTGCTCTCCCCATATCAACACAGCCAGTCTGGTTACAGAAGGCCATCATGTTGGTTAGGCATGGCTAGCTACTTGCCAGTTGCTAGGACAGCTATTGCAGTTTCTCAGTACAGAGGGGACAGAACATTTCTTGAGTCACCTGTGCCTGAGATACTGCCAGATAAATTGTCTTCACAGCTCAGCCTTAGAAAGCAATTGTGCCCCAGACCCCAGTCATTTCTCTGTATTGACATATGGAGGGAGTTGGCTGTGCCCAAGTGGTGACAGCCCCTGCAACACTAACCGGAGATGCTGTGTAAGATGTTCACTGAGTTTGGGGACCCTGCAGGGGCCTCTATGCAGATGGCTCTGAGCACCTCCTGATTTCCCCAGATGTGTATGAATCCCAAAGGAGAGACAGAGTTTGGATTCCTTAGCAAATCCAACTTTTCCTCTTCCCCCACTAGAAGAAGGACCATGCACCAGTCTTTGCAAAGAGAACCCTTTGGACCTACAGTAGCCCTGTTAGGTCTGGACATAATCTGCATCAGCTGGAAGAGGCTATAACCATATTTGAAAAGTGTTTCAAATAGTCATTGGGTCATCATGTAGAAAGAGCCACAGGAGACGGGCATTTCTTCACAGCAGTACTTCCTAACCTAACCCCTCCCTGGCCCTTGGCTGAGTTACAGCCTGAGTGGGCTCATTCTGGGCTTCTTTGTAACTTTTAAACACTTGTGAATATTATACAATAACTGCACTTGCTTGGAGCATTGGATCACATTCTTACTACACAAGAACAGATCTTGTCAGTGCTGCATATCCAAGCCTAGATATTAGGGTGGAATGTGCAAGAGGAGGACACTGAATTGTGGTGTTGGATAACAGAAGGTGTTGGAAGGAAACTGAATTTAAAAAAGGCAATGGGAGTGGGACACTGTGAACCACGTGTTCTTTCTGTGTTTAGCAAAGAAATAAAAATAAAAACAAACTAAGCCTTCTCTTGCCTTTGTTAACTTGTGTTGTTTTGTTCTTACCTCTACTGTTTGCAAGTGTTTATAATTCATGCAGGGTTCAGAGGAAAGGAAGGATGGTAAAACTATTTATTCAACTATAAATACAATTTAAATTATATGATTAGTGCTGAAGTATCAGGTGTAGAAGGAAAAAAAACCCTTGTTGATTGTCAGTGGATAATTTTGGGTTTCACTGCAGAGTTGCTATTGTTATTGCTGTTTTAACAGGACCCTGCATCAGGTTAGGGAGGCTGCCGGGACATTCTGTACTGCTGTTAGTGCTTCAGTTTTCCATAGGGCTCTAATTCCAAGGAACAAAAAATAGATGGGCTAATCCTAGAAAGTGCTGAAATGTAAGAGGGCTCCACCTTTCTCAGAATTAGGCCCAAAGAAAACAGCAGAGAAAAACTGTACAAATGACAAAGTGTCAGTCTGGATTTTTTAATTTTCTGAAGATAAATAGTATAAAAATGGGATCCAGAACCTGTATTTGGACAAAAGAATCTAAGGCATTTGTAGCCTTTGTTTGTACACAAAGTTAAATAAAAATCTCCTGTATCTATGTGTGCCTTCTTTTGTTGGTTTTATTTAAGTCATTGGTAGATTTGTGCGGGGCTGAATGTGTGAATGGTAGTTGATATAGTGAATCGTGTACAATTTAAAGTTTATATTTAATTTTTAATCTCAATTTTGTTAATTTTTCATTTTATTCATTTTTTTCAACAGTCTCTGAAGAAATTCCAATAAAGCTTACCCTTATAAACAACAGGTGAAATTTTTTTTATCCTATTCAACGGGCGGCTCTGCCTTTGCCCTTTGTGTAGAAATACACTCCGCTGCCCAGCTCAGAGAAGAAGTATTTTACCCCAACTTTCCACAAGGATAAGTTACTACACCTGTTGCAAGACTAGAGAATCATGCCCTATCATTACACTGTACAGAATACTAATGAGACATACCT